ATTGCAAAGTGCCTGCATTTTAAAGAAGCTTATGTTGATTAAATGGAATTAGGTGTTGAAAAACAACCTGTGGGTGATATGCAAGAGTACAACCAAATATAATGGCTAATCCTGGACTAGTCATAATCACCCTGGGATGAGATTAGTCAGAAAATGTGAAAAGTCAGGGTGACCCCAAATTTATGAGAACTCAACCTGCATAGGGAGCAAGGATGCTTTGTTTGCTTTGTGTACGAGATGTGACTATAAAACATGGGAATTGATTCCACAACTACAGACTAAAATCATCCTCATTTCCGAGAACAACATATAAATATATGTGGCACATAATAACATATAGTCATATTGCCAAGTCTCTCTACTTCCTAGAAAGATAAATATAGGTGTAGCACACAGTGGTACAAAAGCCATGAATTTTGAAATCAAATCCAGCTTGGAATCCCTCCTCAACCACTTACTAAAATATGACCTCAGGCAAGTCATTTAACCCCTTGAGCTTCAATTTTCTCAACTAGAAAAGGGTGATAAAAATATCCATTTTGCTTTTTTATTGTAGTAAACAATAATGTGCTTTTATAACACTTTTTAAATAGTGTGCCCTAAGTAATATTCTAAGTAATTTACATGAATTAACTCATTTAATCGTCACAAACATTCCAAAAATTATGTCTTAGTCTGTCTGTATGGGCTGCTATATCAAAATTACCATAAAATTACTGCTATAACGAAATTACCATTGGATAGCTAATAAGCAGAAAATTACTGAACACTAAGCTCAAAATGCCAACAGATTTGATGTCTAATGGGTGCCTGTTACACATGGAAGGAACATTCTTGCTGTGTCTTCGTAGTAGAAGGGACGTGGGGTATGTTCCCTTATACCTGTTTTCTAAGGACACTAATCCCATTCATAGAGGCACCACCCTTATGATCTGATCACCTTCGAAGTCTCTCACCTCCTAATGCCTTGTGAATCAGTATTTCAACACAAGAACTGGGCAGTGAGGTAGGGAGGACATAGATGTTAAGTCATAGCAGATAGATATTTATATCCTCATTTCATAGTTAAGGAGTCTAAGAGAGAAGTGACTGTCCTGATCAAGGTCACAGTACTTGGCGGCAGAGCTGGCATTTGAATACAGGTTAACAAGCACAGGAGTCTCTCTTAATCACCATGCTCTACTGCTAAGATGAGTAGGGAGAACATGTGTACCAATCAGGTGACCAGTGCCCAAGTCAAGGTAGTCACACCTTAAATAAAGTCTTACTATGCAGTTGTCACTGGCACAAAGCAACTTTTTGTCAGTCTTAGGAAAAAAAAAAAAGTAGACAAATGAAATCTATAGAAAATCTTAAGAAACCATTTTGGCCAAGAGTTTCAAGACTCCTGTCACATGAGAATATGAGTCAAAGCTACAAAAAAAGTAACTAAATGAACTTGATGATGAAAATTCAAATGAGCAGGAAAATTTCTCAAGTATAGCTTTTTAGGATGCAAGGAGACACAAAAAGAATCCACAAGTAGGATAATCAACCTCTGGAAAATGTTCTGAGGGAGTATTCCAAGGACCATTCTGACTTGTAATATCAGGGGCTCTGATCAACATTCTTCCACACAGGCACATTGATAGGAAGATATTCATGTGATGGGTTTAAATAAAGATATTACTAAAAAATTTTAGCCATTCATTGACCATCTTTTTACATTCATTCTAAAACTCAAACATGTCAATCTACCCTTATTTCCAGATAATTCAAGTAATGTGGATTAGCTTTAGCAGAGTTTCTAAAGTTGTAAGGCACCCAAATTTAGAATTTATCTGTAATACATCAAGGTTTAAACAAATGTTAAGTTGTTTAAACTACATCAAGGACCTCTAAAGTGAACTGGGTCACTTTCCTCCTTTGCAGTAGTGGTATGTATGAAGCATATGGCGTTTCCCTGTAAGAACAACATCAAGATTGGCATTCAGCAGATTTTTATTGAGCCTCTTTGACCCTGAGGCTTGTGCTAGAAATACCAGCAAGCATAACTTGTATGGTCCTTTTCATACAAATTTGCTTCTTTTTCTTCATTCTCTTGAACTGGAGACCTACCTGGTTATGAATAGAAATGAAAAGTGAAAGGCAGCCCTATTATAAAATGATAAGGATACATGTGTTCTTTTTTTCCCTTCTCCCTGTGTTATCAATCTTTCTCATGCTCTCAAGAGAGAAATATTCTTAGTGTATGTGTGGTCGAGATTTGCCCCAAGAAAATCATGTAGGTGCAGTAGTGCTTACTAAACAACTATTCTATGCCAGACACTGAGCTTGGTATCATAAAGAAATCATCTAATTGAATTCCCACAATAAACCCATGTTGTAGACCAAAAAATAAAAATGTGGAGAACTTCAGCAGAAACTAGAAATTGTTTATAGACTTCTGTCAATATCTGTGGGTTCCCCAATCTAAGATCCAATCAACCAAGGATCAATAATATTCAGAAAATAAAGTTGCATCTGTACTAAACATATCCAGATTCAGATTTATTATTATTATTATTATTATTATTATTATTATTCTCTAAACTATGCAGTATAACAACTATTTCCATAGTGTTTATGTCATATTAGGCTTTATAAGCAATCTAGAAATGATTTAAAGTATATGGAGGATTCGTCCAGTTTATATGCAATTACTACCCCATTTTGTACAAGGGACTTGAGCCTTTAAGAATTGTGGTATCCATGGGAGTCTTGGAACCAACCATCGTGAATACCAAGGGACAATTGCATTCATCAATGGGGATAAAGTGGTACAACAAAAAGTAACCAGCATCTATTGATGAAATATTTGAGCTTCCATCACCCCTTTATTTTGAGCCATCTTGGAGTAACTTTGGTGATATAATGTTAAAAGAAGAGTAGATGTGAAATTAAGAATATCAGAAAAATAGATAATAACTAGTCTAGCTTCTACTGTTGGTAATTCTTGCAGATACTGGGAGATTATTTGTGAAATTCTTAATTCTAACAAGTACAATACCTTTCTCTGCAGAAGGCCGATGCTGTGCGTGTGATTACATTCACTGGTTGTATGGGAGAAACACACTTTGATGGTAAACCTATAGGTTTGTGGAATTTCCGAGAAAAAGAAGGTGACTGCAAAGGATGTACTGTCAGGTTAGTTGAGAACTCCCCTGAGAATGGTTCTGTGTGTCATGACAGTTTTTATTTTACAGTGTAAAATTTATTGTCACATAGATAATATGGAGCTGTTTTGAAATGATTATACAGAAGTGGATTTACCATAAAGCTAATGTAACTTCTAGTTCTTGCTTCCGATTTATACAGGTATTTTTAAGGTCTTTGGAGGTACTCTAGCAGTACATTTGCATGATATTATGTTTTTGTAAAATTTGCAAAGGCAAGACTTTTCCACCAAAGTCAATTAAGACTTTTTCTACTTCAGTGTCCCTTCATGTCCATGGGTTTTGCTTATCTATGTTTTTTTTCTGTAGCCAGACTATTATTTCATTAAAAAAAAGTTCTTCCCAAACTTATTAAGTACAAATTTAGAAGCCTAGCCCAGGTTTTATCAAATTGACGCATCAGTTCCTATGAATGCTTTCAGTGGAAACCACAGGACTTCAAGATTCTGTTTATAGGAGACGAATCTGGGATCTAGACAGACCAGAAGAAATTCTATGTTACAAATCATCCACTATAAGATAGAGGCTGGAATAGAAGTTTGAAAATATAACAGTATACAAAGAATGTAGGAAGAATAATTTTTTTTTGTACTGGGGATTGACTCAGAGATACTTTACCACTGAGCCATATTCCTAATACTTTTTTTTTTTTTTTTGAGACAGGGTTTTACTCACTTAATGTAGGTCTCACTAAATTGCAGAGTCTGGTCTTGAACTTACAATCTTCCTTCTCCAGCCTCTCAATTCACTGGGATGGCAGGTGATATGTCACTCCTGCTCCTAGCAAGAATACAAATTTTTATATAAACTTGAAGACAGGATATAAAATAATTAGCTAGAAGTAGAGGATTTCTCAGCATAAAAAAATGGAGTCCTCTAGTTACACTATCATAAAATAATTTCATTATAATAAGTTGAAGCTATAAAACACAAATTAAATATCTGGAACATTTAATGTGATATACATAGCAATTCGAAAGTGCTAAGGAGTTTGTGTTTTTTACTTCTAATTTAAAGGGCACATGCATACTTTCAAAACCCAAGTCACTCATTAAAATGCCAGAATACACTGTACATTTTCTTCTCAGCATTTTTAGAGTTGCATAGAAGAAAGTAGCTCCAAAGTAATTCCTTGTGAAAGTTTAAACTTCCAACTCTCTTTCTTTTTGGCATCTTAAATTTATCGACACAGCACGAGGATAGTTTGAAAGCCTGACCTATTTAAAATATTTTTTTAAATAATCTTCAATAAAATTTAATATGGAAGGTTATCTGTAAAATTCTTTCACTACAACAAAAGTGATGAGGGCTGTTTTAATATTTTACTACTCACAAAGAAACACCAACTTTTTTCTACGTATCTTTGGTAAATTTCTAAGTAGAATTTTCAGAAGCCTGTTACCAACAAAACATCTAAAGCACTTAATATCTATTGAGTGGTGCATGTCAGATAGGACTATAACACCACTAATTATTAATTCTGCAAAGATATTGTACTACCAACCTACAATGTGTTATATTAATTGATATATAATAATAATAATAATAGAATTCCTATATATTCATAGGGCAATTTGTAGGTTAAAAGATTCATGCCTACAATTATCTGATAATAGGATGAAGCCAGTCTTGTTCCAGATATCAAGAAATTTATCACCAGGAAGAAAGAAAAGCCAAATGTTAAAATATAAGCTATTTTTTAAAATCTCTTTAAAAAGGTACCAAGTATACATAGGTTGTTCACATCAGGTTGAAGGCATCAAGACCTGTTTAGTGGAGGAGGCAACATTTGAGGTGGCCCTTAACATGGGATAAAAGTCCAACAAGAGGAGAGAGCAGGTGAGATGTGGAATTTGGAGAACATTCTGGTCCCAGAGATCAGGGAAAGAAAATGTGGGGAGGCTGAAAAGCCAGTCTACAGTTTGTAAAATGCTGAACAAGTGTGAACTTGCTCATACAGGATTGGTTAGTGGGAGAACAATACAAGTAACATACAGAGGACATGTTTGTACCCTGTCCTTCCCAGCAGGTTAATGTTTTGCATGTCAAGTAAGGGTAGCAGAATGCAAAGCAACCCAACAGGCTGCGGACGCTGAGATCAGGATACCAAGCCCATAGTGCAGCCTGCATACAAAGCCATTTCACCTGCACACTTGTCCTCAGCTGGCTTTGGCAAAGCATTCCAGCTCAGAAATGTTCATTGCCCAGTTCTCCTCTATCACAGTGCATTTTGAGCACATGGTCACCCTGCAGGGTCAACCCTTCCTTACACTCCAGGTAGTCAAACTACCTTCACCTTTTCCTTTGAAGGTGAAGTTCTGTTTCTGGAATGATTCTCTGTTTTTAGATTTTTTTTTTTTAATGTATCTTTTTGAGCTGTGCAAATATTTTTATTAGGACTGTCATTGTTTTTTTTGTGTGAATGCTCTGATTATGTGGTTGCATAAATTTTGAATAATCTTCCCTAAACTATTTTCTCACAAACACTGGTATTTGTAAGACTCATTTTTTAGAACTTTAGGTATTGTTTGTGTTCTGTTTTCTTTTCAGGAAAACACGGATCACATTTTTAACATAATGACCAATTGTTCCAGTTAAAGGGCAAAAGTGAATTTATAGAAAAGATGTAAAACATGAAGCTAAAAGAACTAGATTGGAAAATTTTGTAGAAGACCTAGAGTGTCAGTTTTAGAAATTTGTATTTATTCAGTAGTCAATAGAAGGGTTATAATTATTGTTATACTTTGGAAAGATTACTTTGTAAATGGTATATTTTAAAATGTATCTCATTTTTCTTAAACTGCCAAAAATCACATTAAGATTAAAATACAGGAAAAAAATGCTGAAAGTAAAATGTATTTAGCTAAACATTAAAATTATGATGAAATTTTAAATACCAAAAGCCATCATACATAACTGCTTGTTAACTACAGAATAAAATGGTGGTTTCAAAATAGCACAGTTAATCCTTTGTAACGTGACCAGACATCCAGGTTCAACAGAGAAAAATAAGGGAAGTTAAGATGCTTTCAGTTATTAATATACTAGTTACTTTTTCTGGTAAATGTGCTCAAAATCAATTTAGGAAAAATCTAGTATAATGTTAGCTGTTGAATTATTACAGAATATTCCTGGAAGAATTTGTTGTCACTCATCCCAAAGTCACCAAGCCTAGAATTGTTTTTTAGGCTATTATCATCGAATAATTAAGTACATCTATCTGTATGCCACTCACTTCTACACAAAACTCTTTTCCTTAGTTTGTCTATTGCTTTAGTAAGAGAATCTCCTCAGCATTAGAGTTGAAGGGGCTTAAGAATCCTAAGTGATCTAACTTTTAATATCACAGTTGAGAAACTTAGACATGAAACTATTTAGAGACTTGTAGCAAGACCTTCATGAGATTTCATAGTAGACTCCAGGGTACTTGCCATCTAATCTGTTGTTTTTTCTATTTCCTGTTGAGGGAGTTGGTAGATTAGAGACATAAGGACACCAGGGTACAAGGGTTCAAAGTTTTTGTATATGAAAAATAAAATGTAATATTTTTGATTTGATTCTCCAACCTATGCTCACCTTGTATTGTGAGACTTTAATGTCTTTGATTTGGATATTTTTTAGAGTTATAAGTAACACTGTGTTGGGCCAAAGTATCAATAAAACAGTCAACAGGGATTCCCACAACCCTTTCTTGGGTTGCACTGGTAACCTACCTGTATATAATGAAAAATTCTAGTAATTGAGAACTTTAGGGAACTTCTAGGTAGATTTTCAGCAACATTTTCTCATCACTAATGCATTGCTCCAGAAAGTAACGTATTCATTACCATCATGAAGGAAGGCCACATAATAGCCAATTTATTCACTATCAGTTCTACTCGTAAGAGGTTGATTTACTCAGTCTTCCAGTTAGCATTTCTCATGAGTATTGAAAAAGCATCTTTTGCTTTATCTTTAGTGCTTTTATCTCTCTAGTCCAGGAACAGAATGCTAAGTATGTGACAGCTCTTTCTACACAAGCCCATTAAGTTTTTGTTCACTATATATTTTCTCATTAAACATGATTTCATAAAAGTAGTATTTTAGACTCCTGTTGTTTTATAATGATAATACAATAATATTTCTCAATCTCTCTTTCTATGCTCAAGCTGATACAACACTCCAGTTTCAGAGTTTAAATATGTCCTAACATGCAGATACTGTGAGTTTAAAACAATATCCCCACGATATCAATAGTGATTAAATAGTAAGATAGGTAGATATATAACATCATTTGAAAAAAATTAAACTGCACCACAAGACTTAGGTATAATTATTCAATCAATACTGATTAAGCATGTATTCTCTGTGAAGAACTCGTCTATACTAAAATCTTCTTTACCCTACAAATGCATACTGGGCTTCTTTGAGCCAAATGCTACGTAGATGTTGAATCCCATCACATGACGACTGGCCTGTAAATTCTAGATGGTCTCACAGAGCTTCACTAGAAGTGAAGGACACAGATAAAAAAAAAAAATACAATGAAATACAGGCATCCTTTATTGTTGAAATCTAATCTGTTCTAAGAAAATCTACTGGATGGTGAATATTCAGAGATTAGGGGTCTGATAGTCCACTATATTTTGCATCTGGGAAGTCTAATTATAGACTCTCAACCTATCCCCAAACTCTACCAATTTTCACAAATAGCAATAAGATGAGCTTAAACACCAATATAACTATTCACCAATAGCATCATCTAAACATAAAAAAAAAATTGAAATACCCATTATTACCTAGTTTTGAACACCTAATGAAGTCCAGGTGAAAGATGGTTATTTTTTGTTTTAAAATGATAGTAGTAGAGGTGGTGAGAAGCAGAAGAATAGAAGACATATTGGGCATGGTTTCTGCTCTACAACAGCTTACAATCTAGTCTCAGTTTGATACATTGAATAATGATGGACAGAGTAGGTCTAATTCATGTGAGATGTCTCCTTTCAGTCCTCAGGTGGAAGACAGTGAAGGGACTATTCAGTTTGATGGAGAAGGTTATGCATTGGTCAGCCGCCCCATTCGCTGGTACCCCAACATCTCCACTGTCATGTTCAAGTTCCGGACATTTTCATCAAGTGCTCTCCTCATGTACCTTGCCACAAGAGACCTGGTAAAGAAAACATGCACAGTCAGAGTTTTCATAATTGATAATGTATTTGCTTCTTTTTGTTGAATTCCAGTACAGTTATCACTTATTTGTAAAAATCATCAGTTATTGTTAAAAAAGTCTGGGATGGGCTTGGGTTGTGGCTCAGTGGTAGAGTGCTCAACTACCATGTGGAAAGCACTGGGTTCGATCCTCAGCACCACATAAAAATAAAAAAAATAAAGGTATTGTGTCCAACTACAATTAAAAATATAAAAAATGGAGTCTGGGATGACTATATGGTAGTCAAAGGTGGGTGCTGCAGATGATGCTTATATATTTTTATTGATAACTTCAATTATGGATATAATTTAATTGTCATTTATTTTCAATATAACATCTTATATAATCCTTTAAGAGAAGCAGACAGCAAATATTTTCCCAGTATAAAATTATACAGCAGAAAAACTATTTTCTTATTTTTTTTCCAAAGAACTAAGTTGAAAGGTGATTCTAAATGTTTTTTTTTGCCCTTACTTTTTCAGGTCAGTATTTCTTAGCAAAATTTTTTCAGGGAACCTACGTTTTTGTTTATTTAACATGTTTCAAAGGAACCCACTTGGTAGTGCTCTAATGATAGAATACATCTTAGCAGTTTGTTTGGGATGATTTGCACCATAACATAACATCCATGAAAATTCACAAAATATTAACAGGAGTTCTATTTCCAAAGGGTATTTCTGTTACCGAGTAACATATTGAGCAATTTATCGACAAGGCCCTATTATAAATGCCATAAAAAAGTGAATACTCATATGTTTCTCTGTGTGTCTAATCATTGATGTATTCTTTTTTACTCTATTAATAGAAAGATTTCATGAGTGTAGAGCTCAGTGATGGGCACATAAAAGTCAGCTATGATCTGGGGTCAGGAATGGCTTCCGTTGTCAGCAATCAAAACCATAATGATGGGAGATGGAAATCATTCACCCTGTCAAGAATTCAAAAACAAGGTGAGTTTTTATAGTAATAATGTAGTATGGGCCTTAATCATGCCATCCAAAGTACCCCTGAACCTAATCAGGAGAAAGACCCTGGGTGTAATTTCAGCTACTCACAAGTTCTGAGAAAAATTGATACAGTCATTTCTTGGCTTCGTTATAGGTAGTTTGGATTAGACAAGACTGATTGAAGAGCCAAATGGTTCCCTGTCATTTTCTTTTGAAACTGAGAGCTTAATTTGAAAGCATAAAACTGTCTTACAACTTGTAAAATTATATCCCATAATAGGCTTGAAAAATGTTGTGTGCTTTTCTGTTATTTTCAGTTTTTCAAGATGTTTCCTTTAAAGAATTCTGCAGTAGAACATGTAGGGGTGGAAGAGCATAGCTACCAGGTCTTTGCTCTTTAGAAATGTCAAAAAGATCTGTATGTGTTTGAGTAAATAATCGATTAACAATAAAATGACATTTGTATGGTTCTGGGACTTTTAAAAACACTTCCACAAACATTATTTTGTTTGATAACATAAGGAGGTATTTTGTTCTGTTGCTGGAAAAAAAGGAAATACACAAACTTAATACGTGGTTGCAGTTATGTGTACATAAGATTCCACAACCAAGGCAGGAAGCCAGGTCTATTTATTCTTAACATGGTGCTATTGCTATTTAGGTATCATTCCCTGAATTCTGTGTACTGTGGTATTACCTATTTCTGTAAATGAAGCATTTATTATTTGCTAATATAAATAGACTTAATTAATGTTGATGATGTCCATGTAACATTGCATGACAATTTAGATTTAACTTTGTATCATCATTAATTCCTGCAATTAACAAATTTCTGCTGGTCACCCACTACATACTAAAACATGCCTTTGCCTTCAACAAGCTTGCAGTCTACTGGGTGAGTTAGACAAGATTCAGTGGTCAGAGGCTATACGGCACTAATTGCTGATAGAGATGCATGTAGCAGATTAATGGTCATAAGAAGATGTCAATGTTTAAGGGAAGGGAAGACATTATTGTTTAAGGGAAAGAAGAGGGTCACGTCCTGGCAGTGGCCCTGAAGCTCAAGCAGGAGTTGAAGAGTTAGCTGGATGAAAGGCACATGAGGACATTTCAGAGTGGTGAAAAAGTTACGGGAAGGTCTGTCACCATCAGAGAGCAGAATATATCATTTCCCAGCTACACTTCCTTGGAGTGTTATTAAGACAAAAACTAATTTTGAGCTTCTGTTGGAATTCTGACAAATACCTTGCTCTCACATATGATGGATGCATGTTCCAGGCTTGGCTTAGTTGTTCAGTAATAATGTTGAACTCATTTTACCAAGTTTTCCCCGAACTCACTTAATCACAGAAAAACATCCATTCCTGCAGTACTAGCATTTTGTGAAACATTTTGGGAAACAAATTAGCGACTGTAAGTGAATCCTTAGGCTCAATGGATGAAGGTTGGCAGAAAATTATCAGATAAGGCTGAGGTAACAAAGCCAGTACATAAAGGGCCTTGAAAGCTAAGTGAATGAGTTTAGCTTTCCAGAACTATAGGGGTCCTAGGAAGTAACATCATCAGATTTACATTTTAGTGACAGTTTAGGATGCTTCTGCAGTATGCAGTAAACCAGGTAGACAGTGAGAAGAAAGAAAAGTAAGTTAATGCTGTGAGAATGGAGAAGAAAGAATGGAGTTGAAAGGTATTAAGTATCTTAAAACTGAAGACTTTTGTGATATATGCCATTTGGAGGCTAACTTTTAAAAAAAAGGGTATAGAATGATTTCTTTTTTGTTTTGTTTTGTTTTTCCTTAGATAACAAGATTATGTCAGTGCTGTTCAAGCAGCTTTTAAATACAGGGAAAATAACAGGTTTCTGGAAAAGATGCTGAGTTCTATTTTGGACATTTGGTACACAAGGTACTTTTAGTACCTTCAGCAGCCTAGGGAAAATGTGTAATTGGCAGGAATTAGTTATATGTATCTGAGGATCACAGAGTTCTGTAAGAAATAGACAACTAGGAATTGTCATTAAATCTCAGTAGTTGCCTGTGAATAGCGATGAGAAAAATTCAAGCAGTTATGTCTAGAATAAAATGGCCCAAAGCCCTGGAAAACACAAATATTAAAAAGATATCCATCATCACTGGGGACTCTGGAAAAAAATGGTGGAGTGGCCACAGTGAGAGTCAAGAGCAGAGTATTAGGTCATAAAGTACTATGGGAAAGCAGACACCGTAAGTGTAGACTGATTCTGAAGAAAGTTTGGCACCAAAATCCAGAAGAAAGAAAGGGTCATAGCAAAAAAGGGGGATATGGAGTTTGAAAGTAAGGATCACAGGTGAGAAAAATGTTATTTTTCTCCATCAGTTCTTAGCACATAATAATGACTCAATAAGTGCTTGAGGAGTAGATTGAATGAATGATTCTTGATCATGTCTGTAGGCTGCAAAGGATGCAATTGGAGAAAGAGGCAGCAATTAGAGGAAGAGGAAGCAATTAGAAATACAAAAGAAATAATGAATACAGCATGAGCAAGCCCTTAGAAAGCCTGAGAGCATTGCACCCACGTGGAAAGAGAGGGCTCAATCTGAGACAGAAAGAAACCTTTGCTCCCAGAGACAAGATGAAAGAAGAAGTAAAGTTAGAGATAAGTTTGTAGCTATGGGATGGGATTTTGAGATTATTCTCTCCAGATGTCCTAATTTTTCATTGACTAATAAAAGTAGAAAATAAATGAAGACTAGAGAAAGGTAAGAGATAGAAGAATAATAGGTCTGAAGAAAAAAGGAAAAGGTCCCTATATACACTGTGGGAAAGGTAATAAAGAAAAACTCAGGAACACTTGGCTGAATTGCCTAGTGCTATATACTCTAAAGATGATAATGTGTTAAAAAAATAAATCTAGAATGCAAAAAAAATCAGGATGGAATGATTTGACTACCTAGCAGAATAATTTCTATAAATCTTGGAAATACCAGTTTCTATAATCAGTCAAATAAGTAGACTCTCTGTCCAATAAAGTGAGTGATCAAGAGTCCTGTAGTCTTAAATAATGTTAGTCAAAGGTCGACTTATAATATTGTACAAACTTGAAAGCAGTTAAAATACGTTTTTGGTTTATTGTAACTCAATGTGAAAAGTGAAAAGTTCTTTCCTCCACTGGTGCAATTTTTCCAGATTTCACTAGACCTACATTGTTTCTACTCTCTGATCCAAAAATCTGAAGGACTTTGTCTTTTCTTTTCCATATAGTATCCTCTGCTTCAGTCCTGTTCTCTAGCTTGATTCCTTTGGCTCAATTAACTGATACCTTCTCTTTCACATATTTCCATCATGTTGTTCACATTAACTCTAAACTGACATTGATGTGTGCATTCTTAAATACTATCAAATGTACTAAGCAATCATTCTCACTTTTATTTTAGGTCTTAATGACATGAATCATTCTACAAACTGCTCTCATGTACCTCTATATTATCACCATTAAAAAATATCATATTAAGCTAGGTGCAGTGGCTCACACCTGTAATCCCAGCAGCTCAGGAGGCTGAGGCAGGAGGATCATGATTTCAAAGCCAGCCTCAGCAATAGTGAGTGCTAAGGAAGTCAGTGAGACTCTCTCTCTAAATAAAATACAAAATAGTGCTGGGATGTAACTCAGTGGTCAAGTGCTCCCGAGTTCAAATCCTGTTGTCCCTCAAAAAAATCACATTAAATCCTATAAACTTCTGTTGTTCAGAACTCAGAATCCCATATTAGGTTGAAAACTTCTGGTTTCTCTTGCCTTTGGTTGTTCCTCATTTTCATGATACTTTTAAAGCATTTTATTATTCTAGCAACATAAATTATTTTTTCTATTAAAAATAAAAGCATTAAAGCTCAAACAGAAAAAGACACAAAAGTTATAAGGAAATAGTTCCTAGTTATAGTTGGGAATTAAAATCTCAATAAAATACAAGAATGTAATTATTTACTTCAATATCAGTATTCACAGATCACACTTAATAAACAGTGAAATAAGAGTTACGGTAGGATTCAATGTTAGGAAAATGCAAAATAAATCCAAAATAGGATACCACTGCATGGTTATTAAAAATATCTAAAATTTGTCGAGAGCAGTGGCACAGGCCTGTAATCCCAGTGGCTTGGGAGACTGATGCAGGGGGGATTGCAAGTTCAAAGCCAGCCTCAGCAAAAGCAACATGCTAAGTACCACAATGAGACCCTGTCTCTAAATAAAATATACAAAATAGGGCTGGGGATGTGGCTCAGTGGTAGAGAATGATGCCCCTGAGTTCAATTCCTGGTACCAAAAGAAAAAAAAATCTAAAATTTAAAAGACTGATCATAACTAGTTCCGGCAAAGATGTGGAATAACTGAAGCCCTCATACACTGCTGATGAAGATATAAAATGGCACAGGAGCATTGGCAAACAGGTTGTAGGTTCCCCTACCTATGAAACAGCCATTCCCATTCCCAGGCTTTCACTCAAAACACCTAAAACCATATATCCATACAAAGACTTATGCCATGATATTCATATTACCTTTATTTGATATGTCCCTAAACTGAAAAGAAACCAAATATTCATCAGTAGGCAAATGGAAATATATGGATTGTTATGTGCCCATACAATGGAATTCTACTTGTTCATAAAATATGAATAGACATACAAAATGGTTTGATATAAAAAATAATTAATGAGTAAAATAAGGCAAACAAAACACACATTTATATAAAAAGATATAGACAATGAAAACTGATCTATAGCCACACAAAGCAAATAGAGGCTACCTATAGATAGGGCATGCAGGGAGGGTTGGGAATGAGGGTTACAATGCAACAGAACACATTTGGGTTGTGAATATGTTCATTTTCTTTATTGTGGTGGTGGGTTCCATAGGTATGAAGAATTTTAAAACTTGTTAGATTGCATATTTTAATCATGGGCAAAGTATAAGGTGTCGATAATATGTTGGTAAAAGTTTCTAAAAATAATACAAATATCATTATTTAGAAGGAGAAATTAGTAAGGATGTTGATGGATTAGATGTGAATGATGGGTAGGGTGACTTTTCTAGTTTAGGAGACTTAAAGGGGGAGACATAATGCCACCAAGTAAAATAGGTAATAGGTAATTGGGAGTAAAAATATCATCATTTTGGTTTGGAATACGTTTAGTACTGAAGGAAAACACAAATGATACTACTTCCCCTGTTGAAACTGTATTTTTAGGAAAAAAATCAGGTACAGTCATATTCTTAAGTTATCGACACATTAAGTCTGAGTTAACTTTGAATTTACTCAGATGGATGAAACAGAAGTAAGAAAAGGAAGGGCATTAGGGAACATGGAAATGTTTAAAGAAATAGGGAAGGAGATGGAGAATGAGAACAAAAGCTAAAAAGCGTAAGATGCTGGGAGCCAAAAGAAGAAATTTCTAGAAGGAAGGGGTATACTCGTAGCATCAAAATATTGAGAATGCTAGTAGCATCAAATATTGCATAAAGATTAGGATGAAGACCAAAAGTACTCCATTGGGTCTGGAAAAGGGGGTGAGGGGTGTCAGGGAGTGGGGTGTTCTCAAGGATTTTAGCAGTATCATACTCTACAGCATAGTGGGATAGGAATTGAAATAAGGCTTTAGCAATTTGGATTATTGCTTCTTTTCAGTGACCAGATTAGTTGTTTTATATTAATTATTCTCAACTAACTTATAAAACTATTCCTCATTGAAAGTCAAATACAGTCCTTCAGGGGCATTCCCCATCTTCCTGGGAGTCAATCAGTAGAACCATAATCACTAATAATCTCATATCCCCCATGTGCATTGGTATGGAAGCAAAGCTAAGAACAATTATATAGGTTTTCAATAAATTAAGAGAGAGAGAAAAAAAAGAATTACCAAAGTAAAAATAATTAGCTTATAACAACTCAGCACTGATCATAAAATTACTTGTTAAGCCCCTACTAAGTGTCTGTTATTTAATGAAAACTCTTATTTCCCTGCTTACCTATAAAAATGATGACTGAACTCATCAACTCTGAAATTTGATATAAATAGCTTATTTTTCTATTTTGTAAGGAAAGGAAATGGCACAAGAAATAAAAGCAAATATTAGCATTTCCTGGTGGAATCCACTTTGGTCACTATCTCATATGAAGGATAGGATAAAGCCCCCCACTAACTTAACAAAAATATGCCGTCCTGCACCTCCCTGCGGGAGTGAACTCCTGGGCCAGTGAGTTTCAATTGATTTGTGTTGCTACTCTTTAATCAATTTTCCTTAGAGTGATTTCTAAAAATGCATATATTCACTCAAGGATAAGGAAGAAAACTACCTCCCATCCCTGGCTTGCCAGTGATAGAGGCAGAATCTCATTTCACAGACACCATTAAAATATCCACCAAGTCTGCAGAAAGAGACGATTTTCATGTTCCAGTCAACAGCACCATATAAAAACTTCTTTGTGATCTAGATAAAAAGGAATATGTATGAAGAAGTCTAGGAAACAGTTTTATAAATCTATTTTCTTTTACCCACCAGTCTAATTTAAAAGATATATGTATGAAAAACTAACTATATTTATTAAAGTAACTAAATATTTGTACAAAATTAAAGTTTATGAACATGATTAAATTATAAAATCTTCCCTTGCTAACTATTTTAATAGGATAATTGTTCTTTTTAGTTGATTTGTTTGTTTTTATAGAAGTCTGCTTTGAGAATTTGAGGAACCAATAGGTTTGAGAAATTGATTTGAGTCATTTTTTATGTGGCAATTGTGTTTGATTTTATTGAAGATACATTCCTTGGGGATGGTAGCACTATCAGCTACAATAGAATTTAGAATTTAATATTTTTATAGTTACCAATAATATCAATTCTAAAAGATGTGAGTTGAGAGGAAACAATAAGAGTCAAATACTTCTTAGTCTATGTTGCTCTTATGAAATATTGCACTGCACATTAGTATGTTAAAATAACTGTAAAGTTAAGATATATGTTTAACTTTGTTTTACCCGGTATTTATCAAATATATTTGAGCCAGGAACATCCAAGAAACTACAATCCAAAGAATTAACATTTAGAAATTCCATTATAACCAACTGGTTAAAGTGCCCATGTTCAACCCTGGGATAATTCAGATTCTGCATCAGGCATAGACAAAGAAGTGAAATCTATCATGTTAATGAACTGAATGTACAGCAAAGATCCAAACTGGGTGAAGAGGTTGAAGTAAATAGTGTGGTGAGAAAGCACATAATTCAGAAAAATCTTAGCTTGACGCTTACAAATGAGGGAGGAAAATCAATGATAAAGAATTTCCATTGCTAAACAATGCAGTCTAAGCAGAGGAATGACTCTTCTTTCCTTTATCCTATTTCTGAATTCTTATCCTCATCACATGAGTAATACCTTGAGAGATATAAGAGAAAAGCAATAAAGCCTGAGGGCTATCCCTCACTCACAACATTCAGCTTTCAGGTCTAAAACATGATTTAGCATGGACATGGGTCCCACTGTCTTGCAGGACCAAAGATCCTCATTTCAACATTTCCATGCACAACCATATTACACAAGAGCATACCACTTTGCAGATGGCTCTAAATTTCAATAGTTTTTCGAACACTGACATTTACAGAAAGAGCCACAGCATATTCCTAATAAATATTAGAAATTAATTTCTAATTAACATTCATCTTAGCACTTCACCATCCTAATTTATTTTCTGACTACTGACCTATATTATGGAAAACTATAGCAAGTAGTTCTTTGTCGTCCAGCTAAACTTCTCTCTTTTATTTTTATTGATGTGCCTTTTTAACGTTCAAGCCATTATTTTCATGCTCTCTTGTTTGTGGAAAGGTCAGTAATTATTCTATTGGTGTTACTGTTGTGTCTTCAATTAATAAATGGTTAAATATAGTACAAGTGCTTGATAAAGTCAATGTTAATTTCAGAATTGAACTAAATTTATCTTGAAGTATCAGTGATGATATAGGTGTGATTGGTTTGCTCCAATTAAACTTCCTATTTCCTTTACAGCCAACATATCCATTGTAGATATAGATACTAACCAGGAGGAGAACATAGCAACTTCATCTTCTGGAAACAACTTTGGTCTTGATTTGAAAGCAGATGACAAAATATATTTTGGTGGCCTGCCAACCCTGAGAAACTTGAGGTAATTTAGCATATATTTAAAATGAAGGATTAACTTTTAATTAAATGGTCATTCTGCTCACTAGAGTTCTGAAGTTTAATTACAATAGGAATGCCATATAACCTTTAACAGCAGAAAAGGTCTAATTAAAAAAAAATCATGTTGGATGTTAGAACAACACCAGGATTTAGAAATCAAAGGATTAGTTTGACATCTTTGTTGAGGAGATGGATTAGAATCACTGCTTCCCTTATATGCACCTGCTGAAAAGAATTATGAAAGTAATTAAAGGTAGAAGCCAGAGTCAAATGTGGGTCTTGTAATTGCTGTTCTTCTTGCACATTCGCTGGAGGTAATGGCACTCTGACATTGCTTAGTGTTCTGGAAATTAGTCAGTGTTCCAGGATACTGTGAGTATAACCTATTTTATTGCTGAGCATTAGCATTATAATGGCATATTGGAGCTTTCCCATATGCCTAATACAAAACTGTATTAGTTTTTCCCGTGCCCATGCCAATATTTTCATCATTTTTCACATATGCTTTTTAGTGAACAGAATAGGGAAACATCTTTAGCTCATAGTTTAGGCAGTTCAAAATAATAACTAAAAAAATGTCAGAAATCTTCTGTACCATAATGTCAATGCCATGCTTATTATAAAACATAAGAAAAACAATAGAAAGTATTTGGTCCTTAATAAATGTGAAATGAATTTGATTAGAAGGGAACAAGTTGATTTGGATAAATCATTAGAGTTTACTACATACAGAGTATTTTGTTTAGTTTGATAGTTTTTAATGGGTATAAAAGTTTTATCTAGGTGTTCCTACTCCACAAAGAAAAATTACATTTGGAGAAATTTCATAATACTATAGTGGAAAAGTGTGGTGTCAGTTATCTTTTTATTTCCTAATCGAGCAGTGAAACTTTAGTCTCCTTTTTTACATCAGTAGCATGCAAATTGAAAGGTTTTTCTCCTGAATCAAAACTCGTAGACCAGGACATTATTAGTCTTTTAGCAGTCTGAGTTGATAAGCTTCTTGGTGCAAATGAACTAGTTATGCATTCATCTACATTATAAAGTACTTATTTGTTTAGGAATATATATTTAAAGCCTCAGGTTAGAAAAATCATTGCAAATCAAATGCATCTATATAGAGACACAGTTATACTTGGACATCCAGTTTGGAAACAAGTATTCAACATACATTAGTTGAGCATCTACTATGTGCCAGCCACCTTACTAAATACTAAGGATTCAACAGTTGTTCAAGTTTAAGACTTACTTTGTAAACTCATTAGCTATATTCTACTGAGTGCATTCAAAATAAGGCTATCTATATCTATCTTCATTTATTCTAGTGGTGATTTTAATTATCATAAAGTGATTTTTAGGAATGATCTACAACCATGGATATGTAATTTCATAGAGAAGAGATTTTATCTTAGTTGTTTTGGAGACTACATGTCCAGTGAACCTGTTCTGCTGAGATTTTTTTTTTAATTTTCTCAGTATAGCATTTATAATTATAATATTATCGTAGTATGGTATATTATTTCAGAATAATCTTTAGATGTATATTTGTGATTGACAAAGGAACCAAGCATTCATAGTTACCTGTTTTTATGTATACAGACATATCTCATCATGATAAAGTGCAGACTATGTGGTTGACTTAAATTATTTTTAGATATTTTGTTAAGCTCAAGTTATTTGAGAGCAGTATTCATAAGCTTCTCATAAACACTATGTTTGTGCATTTTCACATTTATTATATTGATGGAATAAGTACTTTAAATTTATATTCCAAACTAAAAATGATTCAAGAGAAAAGTGTGGAAACTGGTCATCTTTGAATTCTAATTTCACTTCAGTCAAGGGCACATGTCTATTTTCTATTCTGTCAGGTTTATGAATTTCTTCTCTGTGAGATGAGTTTTTTTAAAAGAAGATTTATGGTTAAAGTTTATTGTTTTGCTAAATGAAAATGCAATTATAAGTAAATTGGTTTTTTTTTTCCTCTCTCTCTCTCCCCCCTTTGACTTAGTATGAAAGCAAGGTAAAATTTAAATTTATGCATGCCTCCTTCAAGTGCATGGGTTGGCTAAATATGGCTTCTTAGATAAAGCAGCAGTGCAGAAGCAGAGCCACACCTGCGCAGCTTTATTCATAGTACATTTCATGAGCAAATAATGCATTCTGAGAGAGTTCTCATGCTGCCCTTCGCTTACAAAGATGCTGCTGCTTCCCCACCATCAGTTGAGCTGCAATTTGAGATATTTCACCAGCGACGACAGATTTGCTCTGCTTACTTGTTCAACCAACTGTGCAGTGCTCCACTCCTGACCAGTTGCACATGCTCCAAGCACCACTGCTCAAGTGTATGGGCACAATCTAGTTCCAGGGGGACAGAGCAAAGAGGTCTCTTGATTCTCCAGACTCTGGCTTCCCTGGTGCCAGGCTGTCTGCTGAACAGTCTACCAGTGCTCCCAAATGCTTATCACTGCCTCCTTGCTTTTTGCAGGCCTGCAAATATGCAAATATCCACGGGGCCTTTGCACCTCTTAGCAAAGCTGCTTATATAGTTGCTGTGTTTATTTAGAATTAGCTATGGAGCCAAGTGAAAGGAATCTCTGGAAATACTGTTTAAAACAACTGTTTGAACTAACAGTGAAGAAGTTTTCTAATGGTCCCCCTACCTTCTCAGGTACATTAATTCTTACAGACAGGCATTAGCAGGAATTAGCAGCCTTTGTAGATGAGTCAACCCCAGAGATGTGCAGGGTTGGCACACTCTGGCTAGAGCTGATTTGTGGTATTTTAGCATTTAAGAGCATAACTATGCCAAATTTCTGGATAGGAGATAATGAAGTCTAACGGATCCAAGAAAATTTTAAAGCAAAGCCAGACTTAATATCAGAAAGTGGGAAAAAAATGAAACAGTTGTTTTATCATGATACTATTATGAGACTAGTCATGCTATCTGTTTGCTGAGATGACTAAAAGGCAAAGTCTGGCTTCCAGTTGAAATATATGTTAATAAAACTCTGGAATGGTACTGTGCAGCTTTGAAATTTGCCCTTGAGTGGTGACCCTCAGGAAACAGAGACCTATGACTACCTTTAGGAATCTGATCTCCATTTGTCCTTACTTACCCCTCATGATTTTCAGAACATTCAGCTTGCTAAGTCATTGTATTTGGAAATGGTACTTTATATTTCCATGAAACAATGAACTTGTAGGACAAATGTACTTTATTACAAAACTTCTGAGAAAACTGTGATAAATCTTTCTTCCCCTAAAGGAAAATTTGGAAGCAAATGAACACTGCAAATGAAATTCACTTATTCCCTCTGCTTTTTACAAGAAGAATCTTAGCTCAATACTTACCTTCCAGTTAGGCATGTTCTTCAGAACTACTAACTGAAAGAACAGGAGGAGGAGACCTTGAGAACCAAAGGAAATGATCAAAGGAAAAGTTCCAGAGCGAGAGAGGGCTGGGGGTGGGGGACTGAATAAATACCTGACGTGAAATAAATCACCTAATACACACTGCCAGGTTCTAATTTGCTTTCCCACCTGTTTTTCCTCATGCCATGTGTTTTTTATTAAGATGAAAAAGAAAAACTTGGCATCAGGGGACTGTAAGGAGAGAATTAATCGTTACCCTATCAAGCACAATATTGGTGTGGACTGGACACTTTTCAAGATATTAACACTACATAAGGAAAAATCGCATGTTTACCTCTATATACCTTCACTGTTCAGCACAATTGTCACTAGCCCTATTGGCTATTTAACTTTCAGTTAAAAACAAATAACAATCAATATGCAGGTTCTATTGGCATAAGCTACCTTGCAAGTCCCAGTAGCCACAGGTGGCTAGTAACACTTGACTTAGTGCAGAACAGAATGTGTTCATCATCACAGAAATTTCTGTTGGACAGCACTGTTTTAGGCTCAGGAGGGGTCAGCACCATGGACATACTGCTAGTTTATGTTTATTGAGCACTTACATGTGCTGTGCTCTTTTTTTTGACCTATCCAAATTTCACAACATGATAAATGCAGGTACTACCATTATTATTATCATGTCCACTTCATATCTAAGTGCACTGAGTCCTGGAGAAGTCAGATCACTTATATTATGTCACATAGTTAACTCAGAGCAACATGCTGTTCTCAAAGGCAAAGGGTTCATTTTCCAATCTTCTGGCAGGTTGGCCTTGTTTGAAAGAGCACTAAGCAGAAAGTAAATATTCAAGTTTAGTGTGACTATAGAAGCCATTTCCCAACCTATAGGAAAAAAATAATGTATTTTTTTTTTTTTACACTTAGTTGCTTTGTTTCATTATTGCTCCAATATAGAATATAAACTTTGGGGTTGATTTGTAACTTAATTTTTAAATATCTGTTTTTTAGGCTACATAACCCAGAAGAATGTTTCTAGACTTTTCTTTACTTAAAAGCTTTTTTAAAAAATGTACATTATTCTTTAACTGCCTTCTCCAAAATCTCACTGAGAATTTTTTTTTCAAAATTAATGGTTCCAGCTATTTTCCCTAAATTTGAAGTAAATTTTAAAAAATTTTTTTGTATGTAGTTTAATTATTCATAATTTTCTTATCTTTAATGGAAAAAAGAAACACTTCATTATGCACATGAAGACAATAAATCAATTAATTTCTGTACTTTGTATGGAATACTATGAGAAATTATTTTAAAGAGAATAAGAACTACAACAAGACTTCTTCTGCAGAGTGGTCAACCAGCAGATATTGGAAAGCATGGTGTGTGCTAGGTACATGTGCGCATGAGCAGTTTGATAGACATGGATTGAGCTATGTGCCACTTTGCTCCATATGACCTCCTCCCATCGTCAGAGACTCTGCTGCCATCACACTCATGACTTTGCTTTTGTTTTCCATTTGACTGTTCAATAGGCCAGAAGTAAATGTGAAGAAATATTCTGGCTGCCTTAAAGATATTGAAATTTCAAGAACTCCATACAACATACTCAGTAGTCCTGATTACGTTGGCGTTACCAAAGGATGTTCGCTGGAGGTTAGTCTGTTTTTAAAGCCTCCCTAAACACATCCCTATCACTTTTTCATTTACTTAGTTTGGGTGTTCTTGTTAATATATTTCTACAGATCCTGGTCTTAGCTATACATAAATGGTAAAGCAAGATTGAAGCATGCTATAAAGTTCTGTGATGGTAATGGTGTTATGGAGATTGTGCTTCATTTTCCCAAATGAAGAAAATGTATCTTTAGTATTAATATATCTCTGGTTCTCCCTTCCATTCCAACACTACTTTTTCTCATTTTCTGTCATCTATTTTAGATTCGTTTTATCTATTTGCATTATATATAGCTCTATTAGCAACATTAATTTTTTTTGAGAATGTATTAGGAGTTTAAGCATTTTTAAAAAGAGTAGTAATTTGTACCATACCTATTAGGGTATAGCCCCTTGTCTTTGAAGTAACGAAGATGGGGACTTGCAACTTCCTACTTTGCAAAGACTTCTGTAACATAACAGAAAGTCTTTTGTTAGCCAAAATCTCCAGAATCTCTGATTTTTTATTTATTTTTTCTTGTAAGAGGCCCTGGATTCCACTTGACTATTCTGCAGACTCCCCAGTTAGAGTTGAGTGAGAAAGACTGAGGACACAGCTCTGCTCTCTTGAAACATAAACAAAAGTCAATTGTCAATAGAAAACATTAACAAGAATTTTATAGGCATTCAATGGTGATGAGCTTTTATAAATAAGAAAATGTTAACTATATCACACAAATTTTTAATTTCCCTGATACCATACAACTGTTCATTTTGACGGCTTCTTTGGATTAAAATAGTTTTAAAGCACTCCAGTAAAGTTCAAGGAAATGAAGAGAGGACAGGGAAAAAGAAAGAGTGAATCTGCCTTCAGAGCGATGAGGTTTAAAGACTGGAACAGAACTGTCAGGACTTCATTGTTCATAGCCTCAGGCTCCAATTTAGAATTGGCCATAGACACTCACCCTGAGCTTAGGAAGAAGGAAAATGGAAATACATCAAGAATTAAAACTTTAAGGATCCATACTTGCTTCTTAAAGAAAATGTTACAGAGCATTTTAATCTTCAAAGCCTAACTCTCATCCACATTCAAAAGATATATACATGAAGATGGAAAACTGTCCAGAAAATGAATAGTCTGTATGCATGGAAATGATGAGTCTGTAAAGGCGATTTGCAGTAACCAGAAATTATTTTACAAGGAAAATATGAGGAAGAAATTTGATTTGGATAAATATTGAAATGTCTGCACAGTAGTTTTATCTGAACTATCTAAAACTCTGTGATTTGAAAATTGGAATAGAAATTAGATTACACATTTTACCTGCTCTTGTGTCATTGAACTGGGCTTGAAACACTGTGGAGGGAAAAGACAGCCCACATGAAAGGATCCTTTGCTTTTACTCCAGTGCAATTCAGAACTTCAAAAATGAATATTTTAAGTGCCATAAATGCCCAAAGACAAGCACCTGCTTAAATAAATGCAAGCACATTGATAGTAGTAAAAAGTCCCCCAGCAATTAAAAGTAATGGTGGTCTGTATTTACTGACAGAGAGACATTGCCCACAAACTTCAATGCAAAAGAGATCCCAAATGAATATGCTTGCCATGATTCAGTTTAAATGCAGGGGGGAGCAGAAAGAAAGGGGTAAAGGTTGTGAAAGGTAAAATGAATGAATGGATAAATTATAAAAAGGCTCTGTTTGGTGCTGGGGTTGTGGCTCAGTGACAGAGCATTTGCCTCGCACATGTAAGGCACTGGGTTCCAATCTCAGCACCACATAAATAAATAAATAAATAAATAAACAAAATAAAGATATTGAGAAAAAAATTTAAAAAAAAATATTTAAAAAAAAAGGATCCATTTCCACACAGCTTTGGCATTGTCCATTTTGCACTTGATTACTGTCTAAAACATAGGTTATTAATTTTATTTTATTGTGTTTATTTATTTATTTAGTTTTTGGTACCAAGGATTGAACACAGGAACACTTTTTTATTTTGAGGCAGGGTCTCACTAAGTTGCTTAGGACCTTGCTAA